AGGGAATGTGCTTAAGACAAATGAAAAGAGCTTTGCAGTGCTTCTGCAGGGATGTTATTTTGGGTTGCAGAGCAGTCAGACAGTACTGGAAAGTAGGACTTTTTAATAGTGTGTAGTGGTGTCACTACTTCCAACTTGTGACTCATCAGTAACTATTGCATGTTTCTCAAGTGGAGGATTTTTTCCAGTAACTCACTGTTCTGAATGAGTTTATAGTGAAATGCTGAGCCAATGTTAACTCTGACTAAAACAACAGCTTTGATAGCATCTACATTCATTCAGTTTTTCTTTTTCCTTCACATAGCCTTCAGCTCATCAGGAACTTGTTCCTCCAGACTATTGGCTCCTTTGAGTACTGAGCAGACCACACGTCCCAAATAAGGACCATTTAGCTGTAAAATAGAGCTATYGCTTCGGTTGATGAGATGAAAAATTGGGGATATCCCACCATTTCTTATTCTTAGGAAGAAATTCTTTACTCAAAGGGTGCTGAGGCACTGGTAGAGGTTGCCCAGASAAGTTGTGGATGCCTCATCCCTGGAAGTGTTCAACATCACATTGGACAGGGCTTGGAGTTAACTGGTCTAGTGGAAGATGGCTGATATGAGATGATCTTTAAGGCCTCTTCCAACSCAAACCAYTCTATSATCCTATGAATTTCTAGAGTTGGTCTTAGACAATGGGCATTCTTTGCAAAACAACAGGATTTGTCCACTAAACCCAAAACTGATGGTTATCTATTCCCTTAGTCTCTCACTGCCTAAAACTTTCACCATACACTTGATACCAACACACAGAACCTGTTTACTCTGGGTACAAGGACAACAAGTGRATTTTCAGCTAAGGTTCAATTAAGATCTTATAAGTGTTTTGGGTTTCATTTTATCGGCTTTGATTAATGTACATATATTTTTATGTCTCTGCAGCTCTGAAGTCAAACAAACAGCTCATTCTGTTTATTTAAGAGATTGCATCATCACACATCTGACAAATGCAGTCGCTGCATTTACAGCATCGTCGCACAGAGTGCATTTATTTGAACTTTCTCCCATGTACATGGGATCACACATTCAGATAAACACAGCTGTGTTTATTTCAGGCTGCACAACTCCAGATTGTGGATGTATGTCTAGAGCCAGTGGACTGCACATGCACTGTACAAGATTTGCAAATTCTTATACCTGCATTGTTGGCCAACTAATCGTCCAAAGGCTCRTATCTCATTTAGAGCTGGTATAAAAGGAGACATTTTCATCATGTGCCTCAATAATATTTCCTGAATAGTTTRTTGGGTAAAAATATTCAACGATTTTTGTTATGAGTTAATACCCACAGASCCATTTGTCTGGACACCTACGCATTAACGTCTTCATTTGTGCCTTGAACTTGCAAACCATCGGCTGCGGTGCTGTCACCCTGTGATCGTGGTGGGCTGTTCACCAAGGCTCTGGTTTTGCTTTTACTGTTCAGGCAAGCAGCACAGCTCATGTGAGCTGAAGTTAGTTGTTTAATGCCTTTACTGTTTGCAGATTGCGGCCCAGAGATGTTTCTTTATTTGCAATATGAATGAGCAAATCTATTCTTAATGGGGGAAAGAAGAGAGCGGCATTGTGTGGACACGACAGTGGTTGGGGCTGTGACATTTTGCAGTTGCCATTGTGGTAATTAAGGCCTCAGTGATTCAAAGTCCTGAAATCAGACATTGAGTAATCCCCTGGTGTTACTCATGTGCTCGAGTTGAGCTTAGGTGTAATTTTTTGCATTCTTTTGGTAAGAATGTTGGAAAAAAGCACATCTGACCCAAGAATGGCTCCCTATTTTCAAACTCTACTGCACCAAAAACAGAAGGAACTTCACCAAGAGTTTTGAATGCTCAGACTTCGAGTATAGAGCCAAATTCCAACACAGGACTGATTGCTAAATGTACCTACATACTTTGAGTGATACTTCCTCCCGGAAAAATGAAAAAAACAGTTGTATTAGATAAGTCCTGSTSTAATGGGTGGCATCCCTGCCTGTGAGTGTGGGAGAGTTGTATCTAGATGATTTTTAAGGTCCCTTCTGACCCAAACMATTMTATTATTATATGAGGACCTTCTTTTACACCAATACATGAAATGCATTTAAAAAAAACAAAAAAACCCCAGTCTATTTCCTCACCCTAACTTTTCCTTTCTTTCAGGCTTAAGTACCTA